TTTTTTTTTTTTTTTTTTTTTTTTTTTTTTTTTTTGTGGTCCTTCGACGGGTGAATCCTTCAACAACAGTATGGTATAGCGCGTCAATCAGCCTGCATTTTCTGGCGCACCTTGGAGCGGGCACAAATAAAGCCACCTGATTTCTGGAGTCGAATTGTATAAGATTTAATCTCGAAATATGCGAATTGTTTACGAGCGAACGTAGCTATTCCGGAGTTTCAGAGAGCTAAGCGTGCGCCGAGAATGCGGTGTTCGTTCTAATTCGAATGTTTGATGAACGATGAACTACAAAAAGTGTGATCTGTAGCGATTAATTAATTTTTCTTTTTCTTTTCCCTTTCGTTATCTTATATTTCCGAATCCGTTGACTCGTACGCGTGTATGCGTGTATGTATAATGTATGCGCACGCGCGCGCGCGCGCGCGCGCGCGTGTGTGTGTGTGTGTGTGTGTGTGTGCTTCGTCGCATCGCACGAGTCGCGAATTCGTGCGGCTGAATATGCTGCGTGTGGAGAAAAAGAAAGATGTACGCGTGGGAATGCGGGAGAAAGGGAGACTCCATACGTTCCAACGCCACTTTTGCGAGGCTAAAGTCCGTATCAGACTAGAGATTGCCGATTGTGACTGGCGATCACTTTTCGACCAATCAAAATAAATCGATGACTACTTTATGATTGGCGGCTGGCGATTACTTATCGACCAATCGCTAGAGTGAAACAATCGATGATTGCTTTGCTCTGATTGGATTGAAAAGTAATCGCAATCCAATCATTAGTGTGATTATGGCTTAACGCGACTAACGTTTCCGCTATCACGTCTGTATAAGAATATCCTGCGACACGTTGCGAATACCAGAAAGCCAGACAAACGTGCAGACACCGAAACGTGTAATTTCTTAAGCTGCCGATGTAACCGACCGGCGTCATGTTTCACGCTGACGGATCGCGAAAAAGTTGAGCCAGTGGCACAGAAAAGACAGGGAAGCGATAGAATCGGCCAATCAAATATTATTTAGATTCTTTGAATTTAGAAATTAGAATCTTGGAAGAGTTTGAAATTTTCGACTATGATTGATCGATTCGAATTTGCTTCCTGCGAAGGTCTCTACGTTTTTTACGTGCTAATGGCCTTTGAGATGTACAATTGTCACTAAACTTTCCATATCTGAATTATTCATGAAGAACAGATATAATTTTATCGAAAATTCGCGCGGTTATATTATTGAAATCACAAATTCTTTTTTGCGCTCTAAATATAGA